AGATCTCACAATTCCTTTCCTTTGGCCCTGTTGGCCAGAGGGGGATGTTGAAGTACGAAACAACTAGTGCAGGGGTGAAATCCAGCAGGTTCTGACAGGTTCCGGAGAACAGGTAGCGGAAATTTTAAGCAGTTCGGAGAACCGGTAGCAAATACCACCTCTGGCTGGACCCAGAGTGGGGTGGGAATGGAGATTTTGCAATATCCTTCCCCCAGGAGTGGGGTGGGAATGGGAATTTTGCAGTATCCTTCCCTTGGAATGGGGAAGGGAATGGAGATTTTGCAGTAACCTTCCCCTGGGGTCGGGTGGGAATGGAGATTTTGCAATATCCTTCCCCTGGAATGCGGTGGGAATGGAGATTTTGCAATATCCTTCTCCCAGGAGTGGGGTGGGAATGGAGATTTTGCAGTATCCTTCCCCTGGCGTGGGGTGGGAATGGAGATTTTGCAATATCTTTCCCCCAGGAGTGGGAAAGGGAATGGAGATTTTGCAGTATCCTTCCCCTGCCACGTCCACCAAACCACGCCCACAGAACCAGTAGTAAAAAAAGTTGGATTTCACCACTGAACTAGAGGGCTTGTGATCTTCAAGGTGTACCAGACATTGTCTCGTTCACTGGTGTAGGAAGACAGTTGCAATAGGCTTCCCAAGGAATTGTGCGTGATGGCTATAGACTAAAGATTTTTGCAAGGTGGTTTGGCCACTGAAGGATTCTTAATATTTAAACCCACCTAAGGTGTTTCCCATGTTTATCTCTGATCAATTCAATACTAGAGAACCAGTTTGGTGTGGTGGTTAAGGCACCAGGCTAGAAACCAGGCGATGGGGAGTTCTAGTCCCACCTTAGGCACAAAAGAAGCTGGGTGACCTTGGCCAGTCCCTCTCTGTCAGCCCTATGAAGGAAGCAATGGCTAACCACTTTTGAAATCTTGCCAAGAAAACTGCTGGGACTTGTCCAGGCACTCATCAGAAGTCAATACTGACTCGAAGGCAGAAATATAAATTCAATGTCAGCTTTACATTTCTTCCCCCCACCCCTACACACACACACAATTTTGGAGGGCTATAAAATCTCAGCATTCCTTACCACGCTGGCTTCAGCTCAGTGGTGAAATTTAAAATTTGTTACTACCGGTTCTGTGGGCATGGCTTGGTGGGGGGGGGTGTAATGTGACTGGGTGGTGTGGCCATTTTTTTTTTTTTTTTTACTTTTAAAACCATTTTTTCTACAACCTCTTCGGCAAAGAGGTTTGTAAAAAATGCTTTCAAAAGGCTGTGACGATCCCAGCTGAGTTGCCTGATCGGTAGAGACTTTTTTTCTTTTAAATGCCTCTGCCGATCAGGCAACTCAGCTTGGATCGTCAGAGGCATTTAAAAGAAAAAAAGGGTTTTTTTTCTTTTAAAAGCCTTTGACAATCCCAGCTGAGCTGCACGATCATCAGAGGCTTTTTTTTTTTTACTTTTAAAAGCATGTTTTCGGCCAAAGAGGTTGTAGAAAAAATGCTTTTAAAAGTAAAAAAAAAGCCTCTGATGATTGTGTGGCTCAGCTGGGTATGGGGGGGGCAGGGATTTTTGCTACCGGTTCTCCAAACCACCCGCCTCCATCGCTACCGGATTGGGCGATCCAGTCCGAACCGGGAGTTTTTCACCCCTGCTTCAGCTCCAGAAACATCCTCCTTTCCCCCAACGTTTTGACAGGAGCAGCCAAAGTTGCCTTCTAACCAAGACAATCACATTTTTCTCACTTCACATTAGCAACAGAAAAAGTTGGAAGTGATCAACTGAAGCACACTTCAAAGCACCTCATTAACAGGCCTTTCGTTTGGCTCAAGGGCATCCACAGCAAATTTTAAAAAAATAAGACTGTGCTGAGAAAAGTTTGCCTCCTTTCTGTTTTGTCTTTCTGTCTTCTGTCTGTCTGTCTGTCTGTCTCAATCCATCATCTATCATCTATCTATCACTATCATCTATTTATCTATCTCTCATCCATCATCTTTCTGTCTGTCTGTCTGTCTGTCTGTCTATTTATATATCTATCATCTAGCTAGCTATTATCTATCACAGGAGTCCCCAACCCCCAGGCCACAAGCCACCGGCAGGCCACAGAAATGGTGGGCCAGCATGCATGCACCCAAAGCTGAATTTATAAAAGCAACATACACATCTTCTATCTATTTATCTATCTATTATCATCTATCTATCTGTCATCTATCTTCTGTCTAACTATCTATCATCATCTTCTGTCTGTCTATCTAGCTGTCATCTAGCTATCACTATCATCTATCTAGCTATTATCATTTATCTCCTATCTATTTATTTATCATCCATCTATCTCTAGCTATCATCTCTTTTAGCTGTCTCTGTCTGTCTGTCTGTCTGTCTATCTACCATTTATCTATCATCTATCATCTATCATCTATCATCTATCATCTATCATCTATCTATCTATCTATCTATCTATCTATCTATTATCTATCTATCATCTATCTATTGCCTATCTATTGTCTATCTATCATCTATCATCTATCTATCGTCTATCTATCATCTATCTATCATCTATCTATCATCTCTATCCATCTATCTATCTATCATCTATCATCTATCATCTATCGTCTATCTATTGTCTATCTATCATCTAGCTATCATCTATCATCTAGCTATCATCTATCTATCTATCTATCTATCTATATCTATCTATCCATCTATCTATCCATCATCAACAACAACAATCTCCCTTCTATCTATCTATATCATCTATCTATCACCTATCTATAACTATCATCTATTTATCTATCTCCATCCTCTAATGTAGCTCTATCCTCTGTCTGTTTATCACTTTGCATATAAAAAGGAGACCAGATTGTTATTGCGCAGCCGAAACCATTGTCCTCCCTTCTTTGACCATCCCCCCTCTCCACCTTCCAGAGCTGCCCCGCTTTGGACCGCTTCTCATTTTTATTCATCTTCTAAATGTGCGTTTCTACCACCTGCCCTGCCGTCTCCTTCATTAGCAGGCTTTGTCACTTAGCATCCGTCCAGGTGTTGCCGGGAGAGGTTCAATGAAGTTTAGACAAGGGTATCCAAGCGGTTCAGCCAAGGGGGCAAACAAGCGGAAAGGAAGTGTCTGATCCAACTTCATGGTGTGCAGTTGCTTTTGACAAGGTCAAAGCGTCAAAAGCAGTGGGGACAGCACTTAACAAACCACTCCAAGCTGACACCAATGAATCAATTAAGCTGCAGTGCCAGTCTCTCAAAGACTCACCTGTCCAGGGTTGTGTTCTGCAAAAGACGCCGATACTTTGCATGCCATTTAAGAGAGTTTGAAAAAATCCTATTTACTATTTCAGTGCCAGTCCTCTCCGGGACCTGCTCCAAACATAAATCAAGACAATTGCAAGCCTCTAGAATTTGCAACTGTATGCTTTGTTTTGCTTTTAAACCTGAGACATCACCCTGCCAACAAAAGTGCGTATAGTCAAGGCTATGGTTTTCCCAGTTGCAATGGATGGCTGTGAAAGTTGGATCCTAAGGACAGCTGAGCACCAAAGAATTGAGGCCTTTGAACTCTGGTGCTGGAGAAGACTCCTGCGAGTCCCTTCGACTGCAAGGCGACCCAACCGGTCAGTCCTAGAGGAGATCAATCCTGACTGCTCTTTAGAAGGCCAGGTCCTGAAGAGGAAACTCAAGTACTTTGGCCACCTAATGAGAAGGAAGGACTCACTGGAGAAGAGCCTCATGCTGGGAAAGATTGAGGGCAAAAGAAGAAGGGGACGACAGAGAACGAGGTGGCTGGATGGAGTCACTGAAGCACTCGGCATGAGATTAAATGGACTCCAGAGGATGGTAGAGGACAGGAAGGCCTGGAGGAACGTTGTCCATGGGGTTGCGATGGGTTGGACACGACTTCGCAACTAACAACAAGAACAAGAATTTCCAACTTTATTCTTTGTTTTGCTTTTAAACCAGTCCGGTGCCATTAAGAGCAGCCTAGCAGGTAGAAGTTTGGGCAATTAAAGCTTTCCCTGGCATGGAGAGCTTCCAGCTTCTTCCCCAGGCCTCTGTTTTTGCAACAGAAGTTAACTTATGACCCAATGGCCACAGGTAGCCTTCAGTAAACCACCGTAGAGTTGCTCTGCCAAAATGGACCGAGCATCTTCCGCAGACAGATCTGGCAGCCTCGTGGGGTTCCAGTTCAGCATTTTGCTTCCTGCTGCTTTGAAAGAAGCTCGGTAATAAATAAAAACATGCAAACCTCTTCATGTGCACATAAATTGCACACTAACAAGTGTGTTTGCACATCAGGCTAAAATAGAAGTCGGGCACTTTATGGTCCATGTTGTGAAAAACCTAACTAGTAGCCAGGTTCTCACACACCGTGCAACAACTGTATTCGTTCAGTGATCATTTTCTCTTGTTCGATGGTGGATTAGAGTGGTTCAATAAATACAGGTAGTCCTCGACTTACGACTGCAATTGAGCCCAAAATTTATGCTGTTCAGTGAGACATTTGTTATAACTGTCACAGTATTCCCATAGTCACAAGATCAAAATTTGGGCACTTGGCAATCCTGTATTTACCATAGTTGCGGTATCCTGGGGTCATCTGACCACCATTTGCGACCTTCCCAACTGGCTCCAAACAAGCAAAGTCAAGGGGGGAAGTCAGAATCACTTAATGACCATGTGACTCACTTAACAACCATGCTTAACAACCGTGGCACAAAAGATCTTAAAATCGGGCATGACTTACTTAAACACTGTCTTGCTTAGCAACAGAAATTCTCATCCTAATTATGAACGATGAAGACTATCAGGATTATGTTTGTTATTAAGTCTCAGTTCTTTTTCTCTCTTTTTTTCTTTTGGTTCTATTAATAAACTTTCCTTTGTATTAAGCAGCTACCCACCTCTCCTCCATTCCGCTAATTAGGTTTTTCTTCCGGATCCATTAATCAACTTCTTTCTTTCCTTCTTGCTGTCTTCTTTCTCTTCCCCAAAAGGTGGAAACGATATCCGATTCTGACACCGAAAGCCGAAGCTGTCGAGAGTTCCACTCCATCGGTGTTCAAGTGGAAGAAGATAAACGGTATGGCTGGTTAAGCATGCATCTCAGCGCCTGTGTCTCTTCCCTCACACACATACACACAGAGGCAGACTCACACACACACACACACACACACACACACACACACACACACAAGCACACATCATGCCACCAATCCCCTGAATTAATGCAAAAAATTATCAGCCGTATCATCTCCCCCCCCCCCAGATCAGTATTTGCAAGGCAAAATTTCCAGAGAAACTCAAGCAAGAAAAGCTATAGTCATTGCTATAATGCATTGCTATAATACCGTGATGGTGAACCTATGGCACGTGTGCCACAGGTGGCACGCGGTGCCCTCTCTGTGGACACGCGAGCCGTCACCCCAGTTCAGCTCCGTCACGCATGTGCGCGTGCCTCCCTCTGGCCAGCTGGTCATCGGGTCTCTGCCGCACATGTGGGGGGTGGGGACAGGGGGCGTGCACATGCATGAGGGTGGGCTGCATGCCGGGGGCTGCTCGCACATGCGTGGGGCAGGGGCATGTGGCATGCGGGAGGCGTGGGGGCAGGGCGCATACAAGGGGTCACATGTGCATTGGATTTTGGGGGTTTGGGTTTGTATGCGTGCTTTGGGCACTCGGTCCAGAAAAGGTTAGCCATCCCTGCTATAGTCTGCGATGGGACAATTTAGTTATCTAGGGTTGCTTCACGGCCAAGTCTGAATATTATTGCCCTGTCTTGGGGTTTAACATGGTAGGGAAAAAGCCAGAATGACTTCAGGATGCCTTTTGAGGGATTTCGCTAGGTGATACCCTTTTCAGATGATACGGGAACCCATCAAACATACTCACAAGTAGAGATTGAGGCTTTGACTCTTCAAGAAAGATGCAACGCCTGGGACAAAGGGCAACCCTGCAATTGCAGCCACATCTGGATTTTTTTGACTTTTGACTGCTCCCTCCAATATCTTGCTACCCAGAATAGATCAAATGACAGACCTGTATGGCAGATTAAATCAGAGGTGCACAATTTGAGGCTCCAAGGCAGGGGTGAAATCCAGATTTTTTTACTACTGGTTCTGTGGGCTTGGTGGGCGTGGTGTGGCTTGGTGGGCGTGGCAGGGGAAGGATACTGCAAAATCTCCATTCCCACCCCACTCTAGGGGAAGAATACTGCAAAATCCACATTCCCTCCCCATTCCTGGGGGAAGGATATTGCAAAATCCCTGTTCTCACCCCACTTTGGGGCCAGCCAGAGGTGGTATTTGCCGGTTCTCCGAACTACTCAAAATTTCCGCTACCGGTTCTCCAGAACCTGTCAGAACCTGCTGGATTTCACCCCTGCTCCAAGGCCTTCGGGACCCATCAAAAGCCTTGGGTGAGAGCTCTTAACACAACCTAACACTAATGTTTGATGTGAAAGAACAAATCCATGACTAGAGAGTCAGCTGACAAGTAGTATTCAAGAGTAAATTAAATTAAATCAAACTGCAGGTAGTCCTCACTAAACAATTCACTCATTCAATGACTGTTTGAACTTATGACAGTGCTGAATGAGTGATATTTAATGACTGGTTCTCATACTTATGTCCCTCGCAGCATCCTGCTGTCATGTGATCGTCATTTGCGCTTTTGGCTTCCTACCAGCAAAGCCAATGGGAAGCCAGCAGGAAGTCACAAATGGCCACCCATATGAGATCCTCACTTAATGACCCATGGTAATTCACTTAACGATGGCAACCATGTATGCCAGAATTTCCATCGCTAAGCAGCAACGTATGTGATGTTTATAACTGCATCACCCCATGATGGAAATTCCAGTCCCAATTACCATCATTAAGTGAAAACTATCTGAGAACATACCCTGCATTTAGGGAATGTCATCCAGATGCCAAGAACATTAAGAACTTCAGTTGGGCTGACTTTGGCATTCCAATCTTGGAGTGATTTGGATCTGTTGGACTTCAACTCCCATCATCCCCAAATGCAACATGTCTCATAGACCCAGGTTCATGAGCATTTGTGGGAAGGCAGGCAAGGCAAGTAATATCAGAAATAACAGAGTAAAAGAATTGGAAGGGACCTTGGCGTCAACGTTCCAAGTAATGCACCCATAGAAAACAAAACTCCGAGGCAAGCGAGTTCCTCAAAGAACAGTTTATTGGATACATCATATTGGTGAAAGCCGACTCTGAAATTTCCTGTGGCTTTCACCTGATTAGAAGTAAAAGTTTCCCCTTTCCCCCCAAGTCATTGGTCACACTGTTCAATCCAGACGCTGGCCGGTTGCTGGGTTACTTGCTCCTCCTCTGGTCAGCCACCTGTGAGAATGTCCTTCGTCCCCACAAGAAAACATTATTGTTTTGGCTACAAAACTCCATCTAACTATTTCCCCCCCCCCTCCCATCGTTGTGTGGCAAAGCTGAAGCCTCCAAGACAGTGGTGGGTTCTTCCCGGTTCGGCCCGGTTCTCCCGAGCTGGTAGCGGTGACGATATGATGTCACCGAACTGATTCTGCCCCCCCGTGCCCTCCCACGCACCCTGCACCCCGCACCCGTTTCACCCCCCATGTTATTCTTACCTTTTATTTGGCCCCACCCCAATCTATTGCTGCCTCCTGAGTCCCAGCTGATGGCTAGAGGGAAAAAAACTGTTTAAACTCTTGCCGCGGGCCTTCAAAGGGCCGCCCTACAGCTGATCAGGGTTAAAAGAAAACAAATGGGTAGACCAGTGCCTGCAAAAATTCATGAGTAGATCAGTGCCTGCAAAAATACATGAGCTGACCCCTGGACAGGTGGGATATCATAGTGGTTTATACAAGACCCCTACATACAGGCTTGGGACAACCTAACAGGTAGTCCTCGACTTACGACCATAATTGAGTCCAAGATTTTTGTTGCTAAGCGAGACAGTTGCTAAATGAGTTTGACCCCATTTTACAACCTTTCTTGCCACCGTTGTTAAATGAATCACTTGCAGTTGTTTAGTTACTAACCGGCTTCCCCGTTGACTTTGCTCGTCAGAAGGTCGCAAAAGGTGATCGCGTGATCCCGGGATGCTGCAACCGTCATAAATATGAGTCAGTTGCCCAGCATCTGAATTTGGATCACATGACCAATGGTTGTAAGTGTGAAAAACAGTCATAAATCACTTCTTTCAATGCCGTTGTAACTTTTTTTTTTTTTTTAATTTGATTTATATGCCGCCCTTCTCCGGAGACTCAGGGCGGCTTACAGTACATTAAGCAATAGCCTTCATACTTTTGTATATTTATACAAAATCAGCTTATTGCCCCCACAAACTGGGTTCATTAACTTTGAAGTTAATGAACTGTTGTAAATCGAGGACTACCTGGGAATGAGCAGGGACTCCTCAGTCTGAGTCGTGGAAGGGAGCATTCCTGACTCTGAAAGAAGAATAAGCACTCAAGCCAGAAACTCGGGTTTATAATATTTTTGGTACTGTCTGACCTGATATCCCTGCCATTCACCACACAGACCCTTGAATTTTGAAGTACCTCGCTAGATACCCCTTTTCTTCTTCCCGTGAGCAGTTGGCCAGCACGTCCTCTGCTGCACTCAGTCTCTCTCTGGTCCTTTAGCATCCATCCAACACTGGTTGCCATAGAAACAGGCCAGGAAACGCAAGGGAGGTTGGTGCTCAAACAAGAAAGCATGGAATTTGTTCCTGCTTGTTGAGGGTTTTTCTGATTCTTGTTCCTGCCTCTGGGAGCCAGTAGCTTTGTTGCAGAAAAAGTTGCAGTAAGCTCTCACACTGGATGTAAAAGACATGTTTTCCCAAAATTCCCCATATAATCTTGACATTCTAGTTCTTGGGCCCCAAAGTACTCTGTTTCCCTGAAAATAAGACCTACCCTGAAAATAAGCCCTAGCATGGTCTTTTTTTAAAATAATTTTTATTAAACAGTTTGTCTTTAAAAACAGCATAAAAATCACATATATATAAAAACAAAACATGTCAAGACATAATGTATTGAACATTTACATAACATTAATGGTAATTTTATAGCATTTCGTATCAACTTACATATTTTGCTTTTGTAGTTCTCTATCCTATCATTTCTATTTACTATTCAATAGTAGAATAATCGCATTACTCCAACATATATATATATATACACACATTATAATATTCATTGTTCTTATCTACACATTTATATTCATTTATATTTACATCTCTTTATTTAATGTTGTTCAGTTACTTTAAGTTTCATCAATATTAAGTTAAATATTTCTTGTTCTGATTTCTATTTTTGAGCCAACTGTATATTTTATTCCATATTTCATAATATTCCAAATCCTCTGTCTCTTTCAACTCCATAGTCATTTTATCCATCTCTGCTCATTCTTGAATTTTTCTAATTACTGTTTCGTCTGAGAGTACATTTTTTTGTTTCCAATTTTTTGCAAATGTGATTCTTGCTGCGGTAAGTATGTGCAATATAATGTATTGAAGGTTTTTGTTCATTTTTGGGTCCAGTATTCCTAATAAAAACAATTCAGGTTTCAAATCTATTTTTTGCTTTGTAATTTCTTCCAACCATTTTTGAATTTGACACCAATACTTCCTTGCGATGGGGCACGTCCACCACATGTGGTTGAATGTTCCAGATTTATGATTGCATCTCCAACAATTAGGGGATAAATTGGGATACATCTTGGCCAATGGTTTTTATGTATGTGCCTAATATAAGCCCTACGCCCAAAATAAGCCCTACTTAAGAGCCTGCACAGCCAGCTTCCTGCCCCACCGTGAGCAAGCAGAAGAAGTGAGCCTCCTGTACATGGAGGGGAAAATAAGATACCCCCTGAAAATAAGCCCTAGTGCCTATTTTAGGACCCCCTCAAAAAATAAGACCCAGTCTTATTTTCGGGGAAACATGGTAGTTCATACAGTTGTAGAACTAGATTGGCTGGAAAAGGAAACTGCTCATATCATTCAGATTCAAAGATGAAGCAGCTCTGGAAACCATGAACCCCTTCCTTTGTCCGTCAGTGAACATCTAGAACTATCAAACCGTCTCTGGGTTGCACAAATTAGCACTTTCCAGAAGAAAACTAACATGTTCCAAGTGAATGGTTTTTTTTAAAAAAAAAAATCCATGCCAAGCTTCCCATTTTGCATGCCCATCTCTAATATATTTTGACCACCAATCACAAAGAGGGGCTCAGCATTCTAGCCTTACTCTCTCTCTCTGATAATGTCACTGAATCACCCCCAGGTTTTTATGGCCCCCAATGGTCGAGAAAGAACTTTATAACATGCATCAATGTCTATGGAGATTTTTGTCCCAAAGCAGGGGTGAAATGTAAAATTTGTTACTACCGATTCTGATGGCATTGTTTTGGGGGAGGGGGTTTGGTAATGTGACTGGGTGGGCGTGGCCAACTTTTTTTTTTTACTTTTAAAAGCATTTTTTTTACAACCTTAAGAGGTTGCAGAAAAAAATGCTTTTAGAAGCCTCTGACGATCAGGCAACTCAGCTGGGATCACCAGAGGCTTTTAAAGGCATTTTTCTTTTCTACAACCTCTTCAGCCGAAGAGGTTGTAGAAAAAAAAATGCTTTTAAAAGCCTCTGACGATACAGGTTAACGGCGCAATCATCAGAGGCTTTTTTTTGTTACTTTTAAAAGCAGTTTTTTGGCCGAAGAGGTTGTAGAAAAAATGCTTTTAAAAGTAAAAAAACAGCTTCTGATGATTGCGCAGCTCAGCTGGGTATGGGGTGTGTGCAGGGATTTTTGCTATAGGTTCTCCGAACCACCTGCCGTCATCGCTACCGGATCAGGCGATCTCGTCCGAACTGGGAGCATTTCACCCCTGTCCCAAAGGTGCTTTTTCAAGAGGCAACTGGACTTTCTGGTTGTTGGGGGGATTTTTTTGAAGACGTTTCACTTTTCATCCAAGAAGCTTCTTCAGCTCTGACTGAAATGATGGGGGATGGAAGGATTTATACTCCTTGCAGACAGTTGGTCATTTGCATCCTTTTAGCAAGTCGTTAAGGTCACCTGGAGGTTTATCTGTGTCGTAAGGGTCACCTGAGTGATGCAAATGGGTGTGGAACTGTTGAAAGGACCGTGTTGTAGACTGGAGATAGATGATGTCGTATCCCTCCCCCTCTGTCGAGAGAGGGACGTTCAGTTTAAACATGCCATTCCCAAAAGCTATGTATATGAGAAAGTTTTGTACCATAGGATTGGGAAAAAAAGAGTTGTTCCAGATGACTCAACTTCGTGGTCAAAGTAGAACCTACTGAGTTAGGTGGATCAACCCTCTCTCCATTGAATTGCTTTGCATTATAGAATACCAGTATGTCAGGCCCTAAACCAAGAATGACATATGATTCTTCCAAACTACTGTATTTTTCGGAGTATAAGATGCACCTTAGTTTTTGGGGAGGAAAATAAGAAAAAAGCTGATTGGCACATGGATTGGCCTCCCAAAATACCCCCAATCAGCTGTTCCCAGAGGTGAATTTTATATATTTTATTTATGCAAGTATAGAAATACTGAGGTATGTTCAAGGAAAAAAAAGGAAAGGGGGGGAAGACGATATTGACAAAAATTGTAATTGAACAAAATGTATTTGAATTTGACTAATTATATAAGATAAGAAATGACCAACACTTTGTTCAAAAAAAAAAAAAAAGAAAGATGTGGGTGAAGGTGGGAGAGGAGAAAAGGAAAAAAAACAATAAAACTTGTTTTTTTAAAAAAAAAAAAAAAACTTCTGAAACTCTGTTTCAGAAAAAAAAAATTTTCCTGCCTCTGAAAGCCTCCGAAACAGAGCTTCAGAACAAAAGCCTCTGAAGCTCTGTTTGGGGGCTTCTTTTCTGAAGCTTCATTTCTGATGCTTTTTTCAGCCTCTGAAACCTCCATTTGAGAAGCTGGGCGGGGCTACATTTGGAGTGTAAGATGCACCCAGATTTTCACCCTCTTTTTGGGGTGAAAACAGTGCGTCTTATACTCTGGAAAATATGGTAAGTTTTTTATTGTTCCCATACCTATAGACAGAGTCTTGCCAGACTAAAAACTCTACTATCTGCAACTATGACATACTTTGGGAACTATTAGGGAGACGCTGTCTTCACCCTCGTTCTCTCACACAAAATATCACAGCTGAGTTGCCTCTTACTCCTCTGGAACGCAGCCCCTCCCTCCTGAGAACCCACCTCCCCTACTATATTGCCTCACACAGGGAAATCTAATCCTTTCTCCTCTTCATCTCAGGCGTGCTCGGTTCAAGCGGTCCAACAGTGTGACAGCAGGGGTGCAGGCTGACTTAGAGCTGGAAGGCTTGGCTGGGCTGGCCGTGGCCACCGAGGACAAGGCCCTTCAGTTTGGACGATCCTTCCAGCGGCACTCCTCCGAGCCCGAATCCACGCGGCAATATTCCGTCTACAAAACCGTTCACACGCAAGGGCAGTGGGCCTATCGGGAGGACTACCAGATGCAATACGACACGGTGGAAGTGCCACGACAGGAGTCCTGGATGGACCGAGGTTCCCGGAGCCTGCCAGATTCTGGCCGAGCGTCGCCTTGCCACCGGGACGGCGAGTGGTTCATCAAGTTATTGCAGGCCGAGGTGGAAAAGATGGAAGGCTGGTGCCAGCAGATGGAACTGGAGGCAGAAGATTACGATCTGCCGGAAGAGAGTGAGTCTCCCCAGGGCCGGGAGGTTGGGTAGCTCCATCTGCACTGTTCCTGGGCGCAAGCCAAACTGTAGGGCTCTGTGGCTGAACATATTTTCAGACAAGAAAATTAATACCTAACTAGAGAACGAAATGATGATTGCGATGAGTAGTATCTAACATTTAGACCAATAAATCAAAAGCCATAAATAGGTGCTGCATTTCATGTTGCTTTTAGATTACAGAAAATATCTGGAGAGGCTATGCAGAAATTGTCATCCTTGAGTTACATAAATAATTTGCTTATTCAAACACTTTTAAAAGGGAGAAGTACATCCAGGGATTCCTCTTGAAATGCCTTCAATTTACTTGATTATAGATTGTCCTCCAGTTACAACAGTCGTTTAATGACCGTTTGAAGTTACGCCAGACCCTCCAAAAAATAGTATTTTTGATCTGGGTTTGAAGTTCTGGTGACAAAGGCGCCCCTGTGGTCACGTGATTATATTTTGGGTGCTTGGGAACCGTTTCAATTGGCAGCCTCATGCAGTCATGTGACTGCAATTTATAACAACTTTGACCAAAATTTCAGCAAAACACACCTGTTGCAGACAATAGGTTTGCTTAACAACCGTGGCATTCAGTTAATGGCCATGAATTTGCTTAGTGACCACTTAATAAACACCGCAAAACAAGTTGTAAAATCCGGTCGGTCATATGATGACCCATTTAGTAATCGGCCCAACTTGTGACCGTAATTCTGGGCTCAGTTACCATTGTAAGGTGAGGACTATCTGTATTAAGGAGATGTTTGAAGGTCCTCTATGACTTGTAGAACCAAGTCTCCAGAGCAGGGGTCTCCAACCTTGGCAACTTTAAGCCTGGGGGACTTCAACTGTTGCCAAGGTTAGAGACCCCTGCTCCAGAAAGCCACTATCACTCTAGCTTTCCACGCATGGATTCAATCCCAAGAAAAAGAAACTCTTTCATGAAACTTTTTCTGGCTGGGAAGTATGGAACCTAACAGAGGTTTCAGAGGGATGGTAAGATATGTCACGGTAAACGACATCAGCAAATGTTGCCTCCTCTCCCACATCCAATAATAAAGTTAGCTCAAAACCACTTCCAAGTGAAATTAAGATATTCTCCAGTATCTTGAGGTAGAAAGTAGAACATGCTGGAGTAAATGCATGGCAGATTTTGGTACAGCTTTCGTATGTATCATTATGGTTGGTCATACAGTCAACCAGATGTTTAGGCTGGATTTGGCATTTTATCCACCATTTGAGTTCTTCCCAAGGACCTGGGATTGGCAGAAGTTGCTTGATGGTATTATTAGTATTATCATTATTGCTTCATCTCAGGGATGGATTATCTGCTTACTTCTGGAAACTCATAAACCATAACTAATGAGCCAGGAGAGAGAGAGGGTTGTACAATAGACAACGTTATCCCAAAGAAAGTAAAGAAGTCAAGATGGCAACTGGGTCATGTGATTGAAACTGTGTCCTGCCTTCTCTCTCATACATACATACACATCAGTGGTGGGTTTCAAAAAATTTTCGCTACCAGTTCAGTTGGGGGGGCTGGAGGGGGCATGTGACTGAGTGGGCGTGGCCAACTTGATGTCACTCATGCCCACACCCACTCAGTCACATGACCCCCCCCACCTAGCCACGTCCACAGGTAAAGGTAGGAACATTTTTGGAATTTCCACCTATCTACCCCCACCCTGCCTTCGCCAGTCATCCCCGTTTCCCCTCCTTTAGTGGCCCTGGCCCTAGCCCCACTTCCTCCACCACCACCGCCTCTTTGTTTGGGCTGCTTACCTTCCACAGCAGCTGCTCCAGAGTCCGGAAGGCAAGCTGACCGGAGTTTTCAGCTGCCCCCAGCCAGCCACCACAGCCGCAAAGTGGCTCTCAAAAGAGGCGGCTGGCCTCAGGCCACCGAAAAATACTGGAGGTTGTGGAAAAAGCTGCTGCCGTGCCATTGCCGTCACATGCACATCTCATTGGACTTGCAAGGCAATGGGATGCACGTGCACGAAGAACATGGTGGCAGGGCGAACAAGCGGCGACCGGAGAACTGGTTTGGGGGTGTGGCCAGCTGGCTACACCGGTTCAGTGACCTTGGCCAAATTTCCTCCAATGGTTCGCACGAACCGGTGCAAACCGGCTAAATACCACCTCTGATACACAGAAAGAGAGGGGGGGCATGAAGGAGAGAGAGAGAGAGAGAAAGGAAGGAAGGAGAGAGAGAGAGAGAGAAAAAAGAAGGAAGGAGGGAGGGAGAGAGAAATGCTATTGTTTATAGGAAGTGCAATTCCACAACATTTGTACAGACATGGAGTCCCCTTTCCTACTTTGTGTAGAACTGAGTTCACTCACTAAACTAAGCCAACATAGTACATAAAAGTAAACCCACCCAACTATTTTATTCATGGTTAGCATAATTTTTCATAGATTGTCTTATAACACATAAACAGAACAACAACTGGAAGGTTCATATAGAAATGTATAATAATAGGCAGATATTTTTTTTCCATTCCTGGGGGAATCATTCAAATATGCCCTTGATCTCTTGTAATTAACATGCCATCTCTGAAACATGGAAATAGAATGCATGGGGCTGGATGTTCCCCAGGTAGCAGTAAGCATGGAAAGGGGAGAGGGATTTAATCCTTTCAGCCATTTAGATGGGAAGGAGGAACTTCCTCTGAAGTTGTTATTTGCATCTGGAGGAAATCTGCTGTTGGTGCCAAATTTGGGGGCTTTTTGCCTGTTGTAAATGCCAGTTTTCCAAAGAATTAGCATCTTTTATGTATGACTGTAACTTTGTTGCTTGTACCCTTACGATTTATATTGATATTGATTGTTTCCTGATTGCTTATTTGTACCCTATGACTATCATTAAGTGTTGTACTTTATGATTCTTGATGAACGTATCTTTTCTTTTATGTACACTGAGAGCATATGCACCAAAGACAAATTCCTTGTGTCTCCAATCACACTTGGCCAATAAATATTCTATTCTATTCTATTCTTCCAAGCTTGTTTCAACTCCAGCATTAATAAGCTTCTCTCGATGCTGGTTGCCTTGTCTTAAAAAAATAAAAGATTGCTCTTTAAAAACCTATGCAATGCCATTCAAGGGTCTCCAGCCTTGGCAACTTTACAATTTGTGGACTTCAACCCCCAGAATTCCTCAGCTGGGAGTTGAAATCCACAAGTCATAAAGTTGACAAGGTTGGAGGCCCTTATAAGCTGATTTGTCATGCAGAGGAAGGAACTATCAAGAATCACTAGTACAGAACAGGCTTCAAATTTATCCCAATTGTGACTGTTTCCATTGATTTTCTTGCTTTATCTTGTTCCTGTCCAGTTCTTGAGAAGATCCGTAGTGCGGTTGGCAGTGCCCAGCTCCTGATGAGCCAGAAAGTCCAGCAGTTTTACCGACTCTGCCAGCAAAATATGGTGAGGGGAACATTTGATATATGATATACATTTATATGATGCATAAATAGGCTTTCTTAACGTGCCTTCCAAATTTGGAGTGGTTAAAAGAAAAGTCCAGCTTTCTCCAAGAATTCAGTTTCTGGTGACTTCACGGTCATGTCCAGGGACTTCCTTGGCAACAATGCAATATTAGCTTGCCACAAATTTCTTCTAAATTGGTTGATTTGATGTCTAACCTCTAACCCTGAATTCCTGGTGGTTCCTCCTTGTTTCGATCTACACAATGGTCAGTCTGGTGCTGCCACCTTCTGAGATTTTGGAAGAAAAGAGGGAGTTGTAAAACTTGCCCATGCTACCTGTGAGTTCAGCCAGTTTTCCCTGGGCGTGATTTTACAGTAGATGCCAAGTTGTCATTGAAAATGCCACATGCCATACTGAACCAGAAATGGGCAAAGCCTTGTCTTCTGAATGTTCTTAAACTTCAGTTCCCAGCAGACCAGGAAGGTCTACAGGATGTGATGGTCCAAAAATCAATGAATCAGCCACACAAAGCTTTTGATGTTCCATACTCCACACCAGGGGTCTCCAACCTTGGCAACTTTAAGCCTGGAGGACTTCAACTCCCAGAATTCTGTAAAATTACAGAATTTACATTCTGTAAAATGTAAAATTTGTTACTATCGTTCTGTGGCCGTGGCTTGGGGGGGGTAATGTGACTGGGTAGGCGTGGCCAACTTTTTTTTTTTTTAACTTTTCAAAGCATTTTTTCTAATGCTTTGAAAAGCCTCTGCCAATCAGGCAACTCAGCTGGGATCTTCAGAGACTTTTCAAAGCATTTTTTTTACCACCTCTTCAGCCAAGAGGTTGCAGAAAAAATGCTTTGAAAAGCCTCTGAGGATCCCAGCTGAGCCACACAATCATCAGAGGCTTTTTTTTTCTTTTAAAAGCATTTAAAATGCTTTTAAAAGCCTCTGCCAATCAGGCAACTCAGCTGGGATCATCAGAGGCTTTTAAAAGCATTTTTTCTACAACCTCTTCGGCCGAAGAGGTTGTAGAAAAAATGCTTTTAAAAGCCTCTGACAATCCCAGCTGAGCCGCACGATCATCAGAGGCTTTTTTTTTCTTTTAAAAGCATTTTTTCGTCGGAAGAGGTTGTAGAAAAAATGCTTTTAAAAGTAAAAAAAAAAAGCCTCTGATGATCGTGCAGCTCAGCTGGGCATGGGGGGGGGGCGCAGGGATTTTTGCTACCAGTTCTCCGAACCACCCGCCTCCATCGCTACCGGATCAGGTGATCCGGTCCGAACCAGGAGCATTTCACCCCTGGTGGAGACCCTTGCTCCACACTAAAAAACAGGCAAAGCTTTGATCTCACCTTCAAGGATGCCCTCTTCATATTTTTGCCCACATCATGCAATCATTCTTGCAGCAGACCAAAATCTGACTCTGACACCAAACTAAATGGTTTTTTTTCCCTTTCATTTTCTTCCTGGCAGGATCCCAATGCTTTCCCCATTCCCACTTTCCAGGATCTGGCTGGATTCTGGGATCTCCTGCAGCTCTCAATTGAGGATGTCAGCATGAAGTTTGCCGAACTTCAGCAACTCAAATCTAACGGGTGGAAGCCCATTGAGGCTAAGGTAAAAAAGAAGAGGATGAGATAAAACCCCTTGCCCATATTTTCTTTGCTGACCGTACTGGCTCGTGTTTAGTCTGATGAAAGTAAGTTTGCTTCCAAAATCTCTGTCCAAGTAGAAAAGAATTGGAGGGACAGTGATGGTGAACCTTTTTGGCACAGAGTGCCCAAACCGGAATGCACATGAGCTGGAGTGCCGGAAACCCAAATACCAGCTGGCTGGTGTGGATGCCTGTTTTTGGGGCATTTTTGGCCTTTTTTTTGGTCGTTTACAAGTTGTTTTCCAGGCCATTATCACACCGTTTTTGGCCATTCTCAGGGCCGTTTAAGGCCATTTTTGGCCTGGAAAACGGCCTGAAAACAGCCCAGAAAATGGCTCTGTTTTTCAGGCCATTTTCTGGCACTCTAGTGCCCGTGAAACCAGCTGGCCAGTGCGCATGTGCATGCCAGGAAACCAGAAAAGCAGCTGGCGATGGCACGGGTGCCCACAGAGAGGACTCTGTGTGCCACCTCTGAAATGCATGCCATAAGTTTGCCATCACGGGACTATGGCATGAATGAGGCAATGAACACAGGGGTGGATTCTAAATTTTTTTAGTACCGGTTCTGTGGGCATCGCTTATTTTGTGGGTGTGGCTTGGAGGTCATGTGACTAGGTGGGCATGGCTAGCTGGTCAGAGTCAGTTCTGGAAGGTCCTCGCACTTACGTCCAGTCCTCGCACTTACGACCCGACTCATTTGTTTGCTTTTAACACTGATCAGCTGTAGGACGGCCCTTTGAAGCCCCACGGCAAGAGTTTAAACAGTTTTTTTCCCTCTAGTCATCAGCTGGGACTCAGGAGGCAGCAATAGATTGGGGGTGGGACCAAATAAAAGGTAAGAATAACGTGGGGGGGTGGGGGTGGGAGGGCGGGGGGGAGAAGCGGTTCGGTGACGTCATATCGTCATCACTACTGGCTCGGCCGAATCAGACTGAACCGGGAGGAACCCACCACTGAAGGTCCTATCTTGCATTTCACAGGAAGTTCTCTAGCTCGCTTGTGTTTCTTTGCTTGTGTTTCTATTGGCTCTTTTTTGATCTGATGTAAGGAAGTTTGATGAAAGTAAGTTTGCGTTTGAAATTTGAAATATCTGTCCAAGTAGAGAAGAGTTGGATGGACTGTGGCTATGTATGAGACAATGAACAGATCCTTTTGAAGCTCCTATCTTGCATTTCACAGGACGTTCTCTAAATCAGTGGCCTGCCCGGCTTCTCATCCTTCCTAGGAATGACCTCCAGCCAGAAGTTTTTCCACCAAACATTTTCAAACTGGGAAGCATGAACTGCCAGGGAAACTGCAGAGTAATGGATGTTTCCCAGGAAACCACACTATCAAGAGCAGCTTTCTATGCTCGCCCCACCAATAAAGTTATACTCTTGAGCCTCATTTGCTCACAAACCCAGAATGGCAGCTTGATGCATTGGGGTCTTTCTTATGAATTCTCCAGAATGGGGACCCCGTGCAATGAACAGTTGCAGGAAATGGATATGTGTACAGCTAGAACTTGACTTACAACCAGAATTGAGTCCTACATTTCTGTTGCTAAACGAAACATTTAAGTGAATTTTGGCCCCATTTTACGACCTTTCTGGCCACAGTCGTTAAGTGAATCACTGCAATGGTTAAATTAGTAACATGGTTGTTAAGTGAACCTGGCTTTCCCATTGACTTTGCTTGTCAGAAGGACGCATATAACCCTGGGACACTGCAACCGTCATAAATACAAGTCAGCTGCCAAGCATCCAAATTTCAGTCACATGACCGTGGGGATATTGTAACGGTCGTTAAGTGTGCAAAGTAGTCATAAGTCACTTTTTTCAGTGCCATTGTAACTTTGAGCAGTCACTAAATGAACTGTCGCAAGTCAAGGACTACCTGAAATTTAATGAAGAGAAGGACTAGGGGTCCTGATATCAGTTTTCCAATATTTGAGGGTTTGCCACACAGAAGAGGGGGTTGGCCTATTCTCCAAAGCACCTGAAGGCAGGACAAAAAGCTATGGATGGAAACTTATCAAAGACAGATCCAACTTAGAATTAAGGATAAATTTCCTGACAATGAGAAGACTTAATCAGTGGAATGGCTTTCCTCCAGAAGTTGTGGATGCTCTATCACTGGAGGTTTTTAAGAAGAGATTAAATACCGTATTTTTCAGAGTATAAGACACACTTCCCCCACCCTCCTTAAAAGAGAGTGGAAATGTTGGTGTGTCTTATACACCGAACACAGCCATTTTTGGCCTCCCAAAGCCCCGCTCCACTCGTCACACCTTTGTGAAAAACAGGCCCGTTTTTGCAAAAAACGGGGCATGCAGAGGGTTTGGGAGGCCTGCAGAGTGCTCCTGGGGGCCAGGGAGAGCAAAAACTTTTTTTTTCTTACTTACCTCTTCGAAATTTTGGTGCGTCTTCTGCATCTTATAGTCCGAAAAATACAGTAGCCATTTATCCAGAATGGTATATAGAGACTTCTCAAACAGAAGCGGTTTGGACTAGAAGACCTCCAAAGTCCCTTCCAACTCTGTTAAATTGTCACTGTTACTCTAATGCAGAGGTTGTTCTGTCCCCCTTCCTCACACAGGCAAACGTAATACCAAGCACGCCTGCCAATATTTTATTAGGTAAACAGATTAGAATTCCTGGCAGACCAAGGTTTTGGCAGCAAACTGCCGAATGCCTGCCAAGACCGTTTTCACTCCCATAAAGCAGAACAGGACTTATCTTCAGTCCGTTCCAGGAGCAACAAATTATCCACGAGATAAGAGTTTAGTCAATGTTCAGTCCAAAATATATCCAAGCCGAATCTCAGAGATCACAATGTGACTTTCAGGGTTTAACTTTGTCCATCACAAAGCCTGAAGAGCAATCCCACCCACTTTTATTCCTGGTGGGGCGTGGCTCCGTGACTCAGCTCAATCTCTGGCCCTCCCACGCCTCTTCCGTTGCTGCGCACACTTCTCCCTCCGACGCTGCCTGGGATCAAGCCAGGATTCATCATCCTCGCTCCCTATCAATTGGTGCTCCGATATGCCTTCCTCCTGGCACATCCCAGGCTGTTCCTCCTGGCCTTCGGATGGAACCTGAGGCATTGCCAGAAAGGAGGGTCCTGGAGAAGGAGGCCTTGTCAGTTCCTCCCCATCACCTTCTGAGTCCTCTTCCTCTGTTAGGACAGGTTCGGGAGTCGGGGTCACAACAGAGGTCTTCAAACTTGGCAGCTTTAAGACTTGTGGACTTCAACTCCCAGAAGTCTCCAGCCAGCTGACTTCTGGGAGTTGAAGTCCACAAGTCTTAAAGCTGCCAAGTTTGAAGACCTCTGCTCTAATGGTACCAGGGACTCTTTCCCACAAAGACACATCTCCTAAAGATCTGCCAATTTAGGAAAGAAAAAAATAAATCAAACTTTCAGCTAAACACTCATCAGACGCTTTCTGCTTCCTTGCCTCGCAGGTGGCCTGAGAGATTTGCTGAACATAAAAGAGAAAGGATTGAGAGACAGCAATCAGGGCTGTTTTTCCTCCTACACACACACACCCCTCCCTCCCATCTCTGTAAAAGCTGCATTGCTGGCCGCGGCAAAATAATTGGGCATTTTTAGTGAATCTTTGTTCTCTTTCATTATATTTTAAGAAAGGAAGGAAGAAAACAGCCAGGCTTCCTGAAAATAGAGAGGTGGGGGAACAGCTCGGAATTTGGCTGAGAAACAAGTTCCAGATTTGGTTTATTTATTTATTTTTGCCATGTGTTTCGTTTTAAGGCGTCTGTTCTTTCGCTCTCCGTGTGTGTGCGCTCGTGTGTGTCTGCGTGCGTGCATCTCAAGCCACTTCCGTGCATCCACTCACAGCTGTGCCTATTTCTTTTTTAGGCACTTCCAGACTAAGGCCAGCACGTCTGGCTCGTAAGGTTGGGTGCTAGCCAGAGGCCTGTTCTCTTTAGCATTTCAGCTTCATCACCTCTTCTAGCATGGCAGAAAGCCACATTTTAAACCCAGATTCTTGACATACCGTATTTTTCGGAGTATAAGACACACCTTTTTCCCCCCAAAAAAGAGGGTGAAAATCTGGGTGCGTCTTACACTCCGAATGTAGCCCCGCCCAGCTTCTAAAACGAGGTTTCGGAGGCTGAAAAAAGCATCAGAAAAAAAGCTTCAGAAAAAAAGCCCCCAAACAGAGCTTCAGAGGCTTTTTTTCTGAAGCTCTGTTTCGGAGGCTTTCAGAGGCAGGAAAAAAAGTTTTTTCTGAAACAGAGTTTCAGAAATTTCAGAGGCAGAAAAAAAGGGGGGGGAAGCAAGGCACAGAGCTCACAACCAAGAAACCTGTTGCTAAAATTCACCTCTGGGAACAGCTGATTGGGGGTATTCCGGGAGGCCGATCCATCCACAATCAGCTTTTTTCTTATTTTCCTCCCCAAAAACTAAGGTGCGTCTTATACTCCAAAAAATATGGTAGATCTTTCTTCCCCATCTTCCATGTTAAGGGTGCAGAAAGCCAGGATTCTTCCAAATATATGTCATTTTTGCAATTAATTAAGTGGCCTTAACCTTAATTCTTTTTTGTACATGATTTTAATGAACGTTCATATGCATACATTCATGGCTATTCACTCTCCCTCTGTCTCTCTTCTATCTGTCTGTTTGACTGTCTGTCTGTCTATCATCTATCTATCTATCTCTGTCTATCTATCTATCTATCTATCTATCATCTCTGTCTGTCTATCTTTCTATCTATCTCTGTCAATTTATCTATCTATCTATCTATCTATCTATCTATCTATCTATCATATCTATTTTTATTTATTTATTTATTTATTTATTGAATTTCTATACCGCCCTACTCCCGAAGGACTCAGGGCGGTGCACAGCCATGAAATAAAACACATAGATATACAAAATTTAAAATCGAATAAAATGAATTAAATAAATTTGGCTGAATTTATACCCAATTTAAAATACCCATATTTTAAAATCCATTAAAAATTTAGAATTTACACTTTAAAAGGGAGAAGATTTAGGCGAGGCCAGCTTGATGAAACAAAAGCGTCTTCAACTCGCGGCGGAAGGTGCGCAGATCCGGAATCCTCCGTATCTCTGGGGGGAGCTCATTCCAGATCGTCGGTGCCCCCACAGAGAAGGCTCTCCCCCCTAGGGGCCGACAGCCGACATTGTTTGGCCGACGGCACCTGGAGGAGCCCCTCTCTGTGGGAGCGTACTGGTCGGTGGGAGGCTGTTGATGGTAGTAGGCGGTCCCGTAAGTAACCAGGTCCCAAGCCATGGAGCGCTTTAAAGGTGGTAACCAGAACCTTGAAGCGCACCCGGAAGACCACCGGGAGCCAGTGCAGCTCGCGCAGGAGAGGTGTTACATGGGAGCTCCATGTTGCTCCCATAACCACCCGCGCAGCCGCACTCTGCGCCAGTTGGAGCCTCCGGGTGCACCTCAAGGGGAGCCCCATGTAGAGAGCATTACAATAGTCCAGACGAGAGGTGACGAGGGCATGAGTGACTGTGCGTAACGAGTCCCGATCTAGAAAGGGACGCAACTGGCGAATCAGGCGAACCTGATGAAAAATCCTCCCGGTCACGGCCGTCAAGTGCTCTTCTAAAGATAGCCGTGAGTCCAGGAGGACGCCCAAGTTACGAGCCCTTTCCGTGGGGGCCAATGATTCTCCCCCAATAGCCAGCGATGGTGCCAGCTGACTATATCGGGACGTCGGAAACCACAGCCACTCGGTCTTGGATGGGTTGAGCCTGAGCCCGTTTCTCCCCATCCCATCCCCTCTCCATCTATTAGCTCTATCTGCTATCTGTCTGTCATCTATCAACCATCTATCTATTATTCCTATTATCTCTATCATCTATCTCTGTCATCTATCTATAGTATGTACCAGAGGTGGGTTTCAGCAGGTTCTGACCAGTTCTGGAGAACCGGTAGCAGAAACTTTGAGTAGTTTGGAGAACTGGTAGTAAAAATTCTGACTGGCCCCGCCCCCATCTATTCTCTGCCTCCCAAGTCCCAACTGATCAGGAGGAAATGGGGATTTTGCAGTAACCTTCCCTTGGATTAGGGAGGGAATGGAGATTTTACAGTATCCTTCCCCTGGAGTGGGGTGGGAATGGAGATTTTACAGTATCCTTCCCCTGCCACGCCCACCAAGCCATGCCATGCCCACCAAGCCACACCCACAGAACCGGTAGTAAAAAAATTTGAAACCCACCACTGGTATATACCTGTCATCCATTGTCTATCATCTATATCCTCTATTATCTCCATCTATCTCTCATCTATCTATCTATCTATCTATCTATCTATCTATCTATCTATCATCTTAGACTTTCCCTTAATATGTACTTATCCTTAAAAACAATCTGCACTGCAAAATTCAGTAAAAAGGTAACATTTGAATGAAAAGCTTTTGCGTTGTGGATTGGCTACAGAATGAGAAATTAAAATTATCTGCACACACTCTGAATTTCTTCACCATCCCTAATCCTGATGACTTGGGACAGCAGTTTTCGTAATTCACAGAGTGTGTGGCTAAAACGTCCCAGGAACACCAGGATATAGAAAATTGATCTAGTGTGGGAATAAAACTTTCTTTGCTCTTCATTTATCTGCATTTTCTGTCTCTCCTTCTGCATTGCTTCAGCAAAACTAAAGGGAGCCAAAGAGATCATTAAATCAGCCCTGTCAAAATCACATTCTTGTTAGAGCAATTCCATATCCTAGACAGAGAGGGGGTTAAGATGATCAAGAGACCAAAATTTGTCAGGTTCATTCATGCATCAGGCAAAAGCTACAATTTTAATGGCAATATTTCTAGGGTATCAGAAATATGAAAATTCATGCAGTTGGGCCATAAACAAAGTTGATAGAAATATGGCAATATGCATTTTAAAGCACTTCAGTCCTTCCATCAGAGCATATTTGTGATCAATACATGTGCATAAAATTACAAATTTGTATACGCATAGCTCTCCTAGGCGACAACACTTAGTCAACCTTGGCTGATCTCAGAAGCTAAACAAAATCAGCCTTTGTAGCTACATGACAATTCCAGAAATCATTATCTCCATAGGGTGTGGTCCCAAAAGACAAGATGATGATGTGATCAATGCTCCACCTGATGTTTAAAAGTGGTAGAGTTTTGACACAAGATACAGAATCACCATGAGTCATGCTCAACTCCAGGATGACCTACACATCATTAAAACATGGGTGAAGTGGCATAAGTACAATAAAGTAGCCAGTTTGAACTCTACCCTGTCCAATTGTATGTGTCTGACACTTAAGTTTAAAAACACTAGTCTATAGCATCAGTTTAGACAGCCATTCAATGTCCTCTAAGAAATTGTTTTGCAATTATATCGGATTTTGCAAGGGGTAGAGGTAGAATCAGCGACCTTAACGGTGGATGTCTATGGAGATTCTCAGTCATCCAGGTCATGGTTGTCTCAAAGGTGCCTTTTCAAGAGGCAACTGGACTTTCTGGTTTTTCTTTGAAGATGCTTCTTGGATGAGAAGCAAAACATCTTCAAAGAAAAAAACAGAAAGTCCCGTTGTCTCTTGAAAAGGCACCTTTGGGACTTAACAGTGGATGTCATGCTGTGATTACCCAAGAAGTCACAAGTCTCCAAGAAATTGATAACATTAATGATGTTTTAATTTATACTTAAAAACAATGAAGGTTACAAAAGACCTCAGAGGAATATTTTCAGAATTCTGTGCAGGAGTTTTCTAAATCCATTTCTAACTTAATTGTGAACTTCTGTGATGGCCATCCTGGAGTGCTGCAAAAGCTGTCTTCTCCTCAGTAGCCACATTTGGTCTTCTAAGACATGGGTCTCCAAACTTGGCCACTTTAAGCCTGGCAGACTTCAATTCCCAGAATTTCCCAGCTTGGCTGAATTCCCCAGCTTGCTGGCTGGGAAATTCTGGGAGTTGAAGTCCACCAGGCTTAAAGTGACCATGGTTGGAGACCCCTGTTCTAAGACACAGGAACCTTTTCAGATACATCTCCTTTTTACCCATGGATGGCTTATACCTTTTCTCTCCACATGTCTCCTCTCTCTGTGTGTGTCTTTTTTTCTCTCTCTAGCAGGAGGAAAAGAAGGTGCCTCCGCCGATACCAAAGAAGCCACCACGCTCCCGGCTGCACCCGGTGAAGGACCGATCTCTGGACTCTGTGGACCGGCAGAGACAAGAAGCTCGCAAGAGGCTCTTGGCGGCCAAGCGGGCTGCCTCCTTCCGCCAGAGCTCAGCTACTGAGAGCGCGGACAGCATCGAGATCTACATCCCAGAGGCCCAGACCAGACTGTGAGGGTTGGGGTCACCTTTTCTAACCCTCCGCCAGGCAGAGCGCACAGCATTCTGGGGATCTGCTGGCTATGTTCCACAGTTTCTTTCAAGAGAGAAACATAAGGATCTACCCTGTCTCTACTTTTTTTAAAAAAAAGAAGAAGAAGAACTTCTGAGAAATCCATGAACTTCATACAAGACAGTTGAGAAAACTAAGGTTCTGGCCCTTACACTCATCCCTCTCAGCAGGACTTGGCAACAACCAGCCTATATCATAAGCTGTCCTCGGATCCATCAGGACCCTCATCTCCTTCCCTTCCTCTTCTTATCATCTTTGCCTCCTGTTCCATCAGCGGGCATTATCCCTTCCACTTTAAATCAACCCCGTATATGAGCTTTTCTCACTGTCCTGCAGGCTCGGGCCCCCTCCCACGACCCCCGTTCACTCCACCTCCGTGGGTTCTAGACCCATCAATATTTATATTAAAAAAAATATATATGTATATGTACTTCTATAAATATAACCGAAAGGGCAGAAACTGCCCCCAAGACCACAGCTGTGTTTCTGATGGCGAGAGCTTCTCGTCTCCTCAGGAGACCCTGTTCCCTTCCATATCAGCAGCCCCCTTCTCACCACTCACCTGCACAAACCATACAAATCTCCCTCCGTTTCCACCCACTCACATATGATACGTCTCAAGCTGGGACCATTAGCAAGCAACCAAGTCTTACATGGTGGTCAGGTCGACGGATCAGTGTCTTAGTGAATCTTGGCATGTCACAGTGGTTTCCTAAGGAGCCTTGAGGATAAAACGTCTAGAGAAATTTGCAAAAAAAAAAAACCACAAAAAAAAGGTTCCTTGGTAGGAGAGTTCAGAATGTTATTTTACGTTAAAGGGTTGGTGGTACCCCTCAAGGGACCAATATCTGATCACATGCATCAAAAGGGACCTGTGGTTCAGACAGAAAGCCACAGTTTTGCTATCCAAGAAGGAAGTTGTTGATGAGAGTCCAAATGAGATTTAGAATAGTACAACGGTAATTATAAAGAATCTCTAAGAAGATCGAGGGATGTTTCCAGAGAGGGCTATGCTAGTGCCTCATTCATGGATTTTTCCAGGGGGGTCCTCCTAAAAATGTCTTCCATTCATAATTCTTTTATGTTATGCCAGGGCCAAATTGAGCTTTTCAAAAGAATCAGTGGAAACTCACTAAGGAGGAAAAAGGAATGTTTACATGGGGCACTCACTGGCCAGAGTTTTTATTCCTTAGAACAGGGGTCGGCAACCTTAAACACTCAAAGAGCCACAAAGGTCCTAACTGGAACTCCCCATTCAATTCTGGAGCTGACTGGAAGTCCGGTTCCCCCATCATAGTCTCCTCCTAGCACGGCGTCCTTTTTCTTTGTTGACCGGAAGTCCGGTTCCCCCACCATAGAGTCTCCTCCTAGCGCAGCATCCTTTTTCCTCTACCTGTCCTAACTGAAAGCCCTATCAATTGTGAAGCCAACTAGCAACAGAGCGCCACAGCAGAGGGATGAAAGAGCCACATATGGCTCCAGAGCTGCGGGTTGCTGAACCCTGCCTTAGAATTACTTTCTACAACGTACGTCCTAGATAAGACTTCCCAAACTCAGTTTCAAGAAGGTAGGCTTCAGTTCCTAGAACTGGAGGACTTCAAATAGGTTGAACGTCAACTCCTATTGGCCACAATGGCTGAGAATTAGTGAAGGACACCAGACTCTGGAAGTCTACCTTAGAATAAACAAGTGAATTATGTCCATCAATTCCACATTGGAAGAGATGATTATTGGATGGAAGTTCCCAAGAAGAACCAGGTGTTCTGAGAGCTCCTAGTTCTAATGCAAGGAAAATCAGTAAGTCAGTTCATGGATATTTAAAACAACATCAGTATACAGAGGGTGATGGGACTGATGCTTACTCTCCCCCATTAAAAGACAGAAAATCAATCACAGGGCCACTCTTGCTGAGAGTGACTTTGTGCCATTGATCCGTGAGACTTTCTGGAAAGAACTGCTTGAATTGTTGAATGCTGGGATTGTGTTCAGGGGTGGGTTTTAAAAATTTTAGCAAGGGGTTCTCTGCCTGGTTGCTGGGTGGGTGTGGCCATGGTGGGTGTGGCCTTGTCGGCCACCTGCACCACAGAGGGGGGCATTTTTGCCCTCCCCAGGCTCCGGAGGTTTTCCTAGAACCTCCGGGAGGGTGAAAATGGCCTCCCCAGGCTCCAGAGGCCCTCTGGTGGCTGGAAATGAGCCTGTTTCTGGCCTTCCTGAATTTCCAATAGACCCATTTTTCACCCTCCCCGAACCTCCGCACGCGCCCTGCACTTACCTGCATCCAAAATGGGCCGCGTGGGGACTCCTGGGAGAGGGGGAGTGTGGTCAGGGCCAGTCAGGTGTGGGATTTGGGGGTTCTCCAAACTCTACAGAATCTTAGCTAGAGGTTCTCCCAAATCCCCTGCGAACCCCCAGCAGCTCACCCCTGATGTGCTGTATTACAGACTGAGACCTGTGGATTTAGGGCTCTCTCAGTTCCTAGCTTATAACCAAAGAATTGACGACACAAAAATGATAGGGGGAAACAGGAAAAACCTAGAAGAAGCAGCTTAGTTCCAGATGGGGTGGCATCGGGGTGGCATTCAGAGTCGTTGGTACCTCCATGGTCAGATCAGAGGGTGAGAGAAATTTTCAGTCAGCAGCTTCTCAACCTTAACGATTTTAAGGCACATGGATACAAACTCCCAGAACTCCCCCTGACAGCGTGACTGGCTGAGGAATTCTGGGAATTGAAGTCCAATTGTCTTAAATTTGCCAAGGTTGAGAAACCCTGACTTAGGTCTTGGATCCCAAAAGAAAAGGACAGCCTTATTGCCACAGATCCTTGTTTTCTCCTATTCTCAGCAGTTATTAAGAAGAGAGAACAGCAGGAAAGAAGGAAATGGGAAGGAGAGCCAGAACAAAGTAGGACATTTACCCAAAAAAGAACCCTGAATTACCATGCCTCCCCCCCAAAAAAAGAATAAATTACAGCTACAAAACTTCAAGCCATAAACAGATACCAGAATTCTGTTCATTCGTCAATGTTCCTAGTTTCTCAACAAAGAGTTACCAATCTCCATTGAATGGAGTATACCAGCTTGGATAAAGTAGCATTAACTAGTTTTTGACATGCCCTCCAGAGGTATTGAATTATAGCTCCTATCATGCCCAGCCAAACCTTCCTGAGGTCACATTCAGATCCAGGAAGACTGTGCTAGCAGGATCCCAAATATCTGATTGCATCCACATAATGCTTTAAGTTGTTTGCTGAAATATCCCATTTGCTTGGTTTTGCTGCATGTTGAAGCATAAACTAATAGGCTTAGACAACACACAGGTAAAGGTAAAGGCAAAGGTTTGTCAGACACACTGTCCAGTTGTGTCTGATTCTAACAGTGATGCTCATCTCTATTTCCTAGCATAGGGAGCCAACGTTGCCTGAAGACATTTCCATGGTCATGTGGTCAGCATGACTATATTCCGAGGCACACAGAACACTTTTATTTTCCCACCAAAGTGGTACCTATTTATCTACTCGCATTTGCATGCTTTCTAACTGCTAGTTAGAGAGGAGCTGGAGCAAGTAATGGGAGATCACCCCATAGCACGGCACTCAGGTCTCAAACCCAGGCTGTCAGCTTTCCAGCTGACAAGCTCAGCATCTTTGACCATTGAGCCATCATGCCCCACCCCCCGCTTACACAACACACTAAGCCACCACAAAAAGAAAAGTGAAAACTAACCAAGCTTAATGATTGTGTGAATGCATCTGCAAGGTGTTTATCTAACTTAGTTAGGTTTCTCATGTATACACAACCAATGGATGATCTGTTCTACAATCATCTCTCATCCCTCCGTTGCCAAAGGAAGTTACTAAAAACAAATATTTTAAAAAGATTGACATGCATAACCGTGAATGTCAACTCTTTGCATTTGGTCTAGTATGGCAGAAGCCCCTGCAGGTTCCCTGGGGGGGGAGAGAGAAAGCAAATAAATTGGTTTCATAAAAGGATTTTCACACAAGACAATTCTTAGCCTTTTCTATTGACTTCCAAAACCAATTCAAATTCAGATTTTGGAAAAGAGAACCAGAGTCCTTCTGGGCTTATTTCAACTTTGAACGTATTACTTCTTAGTCTGATAGTTTATCTCCCAGAATTGTATTTATTTGGGTTTCCACTTCTGTTATAGTAGTACAACTCTGCAGAGTATATCACATGTTGAACGAAGGCATAATATAATTTGTTTGCTTTGAGCTTAGTGTTGTGTAAAAGAGGAAGGAAAGACCCGTTGTTGGTGCTGGTGAACGATAATAACAGTGCAGAAGACACTACGAAATATTTCTGGTGTCTAGTCCAGGGGTGGGCAACTGTGACCCTTTTACAACCTGTGGACTTCAACTCCCAGAATTTCTGAGACAGCTTGGCTATCTCAGGAATTCTGGGAGTTGACGTCCACAGGTTCTAAAAGGGCCACAGTTGCCCACCCCTGGCCTAGTCCATTTCCCAAAAAGATGTCAAAGGCTAAGATCTTCTAAGAGTGGGACATCTCCTACGGTTCCTGAGATCTGAACTGTGAGAGGTCCTAGGAGCTTACACAAGGTAGTGGTGTCTTATCTGACATCTTGCGTGATCTCAGATAAGACAACCAGTTTTGTGTGCATGTATGTGTGAAATCCAAATTTTTTTACTACCAGTTCTGTGGGCGTGGCTTGGTGGACATAGTGTGGCTTGGTGGGCATGGTTTGGTGGGCATGGCAGGGGAAGGATACTACAAAAATTCCATTCCCACCCCACTCCATGGGGAAGGATACTGCAAAATCTCCATTCCCACCCCACTCTGGGTCCACCTGAGGTGATATTTGCCGGTTCTCTGAACTACTCAAAATTTCCGCTACTGGTTCTCCAGAACCTGTCAGAACCTGCTGGATTTCACCCCTGGTATATGTGTGTGAGAGAGAGATATCACAAAACTGGTTGTCTTGTCTGACATCATGCAAGATGTCAGATAAGACACCACTATCTTGTGCAACCCCCTAGGACAGTGATGGTTAACCTTTTTGGCATCGAGTGCCGAAACGAGCTCATGCGCGCACACACTGGAACCCAGAATACAGCAGCTGGCTGGTGTGCATGCATGTGGCAGCCAACTACTCTTCCAGGTTCCGTCATGCACATGTGCGCTAGAACCCAGAAGAGACCAGCTGCCTAGCGCACATATGCATGATGGAACCTGGAAGAGCAGCTGGCAACAGTGTGCATGCCCAGGGAGAGGGCTCTGCATGCCACCTCTGGCACACGTGCCATTGGTTCGCCATCACGGCCCTAGGACTTCTCACAGTTCAGCTCTCAAGAACCTTCTACTCTTAGAAGATCTTAGCCTTTGACATCTTTTGGAGGATACACACACTCTCTCTCTCTTTAAGGATATATATATATATATGTAAAGTGTTTTCCTATCGAGACACCTGGTCTACCCCAGTATGTGGGAGGAACTTA